GTAATTTTTTTCTCTTTTTTCTAAAGCAATATTATTTTTCTTATCTATGGCATTCACTGAAATCAATGTTATTATTTGAAAGACTGCTTGTTTTGAACTTCCGCTTTTCAATATTCATTGTACAGATGTGTGTTTCAGTAGTTATAAAGCATTTAAGATCTAATAGTAGAAGTCTTATTTTACATGCCTGTGACACAAAAATAGCTCTGGTTGATAAAGATGTCTCGTGCTGATTAATTAATACAGGGAGCTGTGTATGGAGAAGGGGATGTTAAAGGAATCACTGTCTAGTTTGTTGGGTATGCCAGGGCATCAACGTTATTTGGAAATGTGGGATAATTTCCATAACGGGCGAAGCCTTTTATTTACATTTATATGTGAAATAACTTGTAAATATTAATTTTTAAAACGCTGTCAAATATATTCAAAATGCAAGAGACATCCAAATTTCAATAGTCCCCGCCTACTGACGCTTGGAATACAAAGACATCCACACGAGATTGACATGCATATAAGACTCCTGACCTTTCAATTTATGAAATTTGTAAAGCATCACTTCAGATGTAATTAACAAGAAATCAACTTACCTAACTTTCAAAGAGTTATCACAGAGAAAACAATTAGAAATGTAAATATATATATTTTTTCTATTCAAAATAACCTTTGACTCACTGACCGACAACAGCTGTATAGAAAACTATGATTATTAAAATGAAAAAAACAAAAACTATTTTGATAGGAAATAGAAACAATTTCCGTGAAAACGTAATGTAGAAACATGGAACAGGTGTTCCAATGCTTATTGAGGGTAAGTTTTCCAAGATAGACGACGTAATCTTTCTCTAAAAGAATTATTTTCGCAGAAATATAACACACGTACAGACTGTGCGAGGTACAAAGAAAACTAAATATAGACTATTTATTTATCGAATGATTGTTTCACAAATGTTTCTAGTTTTAGTTGTTGTTTTTTTTTATGTCGCACACATTGAGAAATGTTTAGAGCAAGAAAAGAGAGGATAATGCCTATATTTAGGCCACCAAAACAAGATCCAACTGTCACATGAATTTTGTTTTCTGTAATGATTGTCAAAAATTCTGACTTACAAGATGTTCTATAAAAGTTTAGACAATCTAAAAGAACATGATATGTAGAAAAGGAACAATCACAATATATACCTTCTGGTTGAAATTATCGATTAAGTAAGTGTGCATGTGTTTTCTTGGAATGGCCAAAATGCCAACCTCCGATCCTTAATGTTATTAGAAAAACGTAGCACTATACCTGGAGATTATAACACATGTTCTACGTATTTTTTTGGATTCAGGGGTGTGAACATTTTTAATTCTTTGCTGAATGTACCCAAATAAGCCTTTTTTCTGCAAAAATTTAAGAACTTTGCATTTTCACAACACATACTCTATCTGGACTCTGAGAGGAAACTTTGTTAGAGGAAATGAAAGCAGTTAGTCTCTACTTTATATTGATGTTTGAAATGAAACATAGGGTATTTGTCATAATATTGGTATATACCTGGAGAGGGCAATTTTATGCATCAAGTAAAAATAATTCTTAAAATGCCTTTCTTGTCCTGAATACTTGCTTTAGATTCCCCATCTGAAAAAAAAAACAGTTTGGAAAAAAAGATACTTTAAAAAAGAAACAAAAACTACAATAAGTATGCAATTGAATTTCAGAAGAAACAAAACATTTCTGTATTTTTATAAATTCAACAAAGACCAAAAAGAATAGTTGTAGGCATAAAATTATACATTAGGATATCTTTCTGGACCCTTGTAGTTGATTAAGATGAGCCGGTTGCAGATGCTGAACGTAATTAAATACATTTCAATATCGTATATATTGAAATAGCATTGCTTCATTAAACATGCAGAAATAGTTCGATAACATAACTACATAAACTGACAAAATGTTCTACAGAGTATGCGGTTAAACATAGCAAACACTACGCGAGATTGTATGTTTATAAGTGTCTGTTTAAGAGACTTGACTTTGCCGAAAGGACACTTTGGGAAAACTATATTCTGAGGACCAGAGGGCCCGTGTTCAATTTCAATTTTAGAAACCCTTACGGTTGTAATTTTGCAACCTGTCAATATCTTATAGATGTTTATTATATAATAAATATCGATTGAGTCCTTTCTTTTATTTTTGGTCACATTCGTATTTCTTTTTTTCAAAAGGTAATTCTGTTCTAGAGTTCAGGTTTACATATAGGCTATTAAATTTCACGTTCATTAATTCAAATATTTCAACCGGTCAAGGTAGCCTAGTGGTAGGGTGCTCGCTTCGTGATCGGGAGGCCCGGGTTCGATTCTCGTTCGCCGCGCCGCGTCAAACCTAAGACGTAAACATAGGTAATGAATATTCCTTCACCAAACGGCCGGCAGTAGAAGTGAAAGTCTGGGTCTTTCGGATGAGACCTTAAAACCGAGTTCCCGTGTCACGGTAGGCGTTGGCAGTAATGGACTTTTGCGAGAAGCGCTGACTTTTACAGTCGACGGCTTACGCTAGGGCAATCTACGGGAGCTCTTTTGCGATATAAATATTTAGCTGAACAATAAATTAAAAGGTAATAATGGGCAGTTTAGAAGCACATATTGCGTTGTCTAGGAAGGGAACTGCAACCACCCTATCCTCAACCACCTCCCTTTCCACCTTGATCAACTCCTGTCCAGTTTTCCTTTCAAAATGTTTTTTCTTCCCTATTTAATTTCTTCAGCAAATGAGATTGAAAGAGATACTACCCCTCACGAATAACATATTTTAAGGTATGTTATTCTGCCTCCCATAATCTCTTGTGTTGATTGTATACAGGTAGATCGTGTAAGCACGCCTAAAACCTTACCTATAACCACTATTAATGTGTTCTTATTTATTATCAATTCCGTAGCTCCGTACATAACACAGGTTTAAATGTCAAAGTAAGCCGTCGATTGTAAAAGTCAGCGCTTCTCGCAAAAGTCCATTAAGAACCCTCGCTGCTCAATTGCCCTGGATGCTGGGTCTATATTTGGAGCCCTTCACCGACATACGATGACGTCTCTATATGAGTGAAAAATTCTTGAATAGGACGTTAAGCAACATACAGTAAATCGATCAATCAATCAATCAATTATTTCATTTCATTTAATAAAATTATAAGAGTAGCTTAACTAAATGGGTTCTAACAAATTTGAACCAAGACTTACTGTATAAACAGGAAAATTATCGCCCCTTGCGCCCTACAGTTGGGCCAATTTAAAACAGGGCAAATTCAAAAAACAACGCAGCATAATTTCTTAAACAGAATTCTGACTGGGCAAATTTAAAACGGGACAACCATGTTTGAAAGTGTGAAAGGTGTATCTGATATGAAAGGAACGTTCATGACTATTTTCTTAAAAATGTAATTTGTAATTTAATTAATTACAATTGCAAAGTAATTGTAATTTGATTATTTACATTTCAAAATCCTTGTAATGGTAAAGGAAATTTTATTGAAGATCTTAGACAAGTAATTGTAATTTAATTAATTACTTTCCTGTGTAATTGACCCCATCCCTGGTGTCTGTTCAATTTATACCTTGTTCAATTTGGACCGTTGCATAAATGCCCTACAGCGTTAATTGTGATATATTGTCAACATTTCAAAAGAATTTATAATTTTTTAATCATATAAGATGAGCTATTATGATCAAAGCATGCATATATGTCTAATGGCAGTCAAACACAGAGATGACAATTACCGAAATGTCCACATTTTGGGGTGCACTTTTCATATACAGGATCTTATAAAATGACATCCTAAAAAGAAAAGGGGACTCGGGTAGGGGACAAGTATTGCTTATGCAATACTCCCAGAATGCTTGTTTTGTTTGTCATACAGTTTAGATGTTAGTTAGCCCTTATCGTCTATTGTCAGTAAAACATCCAAATATGAAACAGATGTGACAGACCCTGTGATGTCCTTTATTTTAAGTCCACTGGGTCGCAGGAAAATGTCACGCTATTTTCAAATGATATTCGCTTGAATATCATGCCAAAAAAAAAAAACATCGCGCAAAATTCATGGGAAAAGAGAACCAAGGCTTCATATGAATATCGTGCGATGACAAGCATATTTTTGTACCACGGGAATTTATATCGAGCTATTATCTACGAGTGCCCCAAAGCTCAGTCCATTAATTCCATCCTTTTTTGCCTCGTTTTAGAAATTGTACGTACGTGCACGTGGAGCATGATCATGCATGCATAGATTTTTTTGTCAACAAAAGTGGAATTTTAAACACTGTGTTTATTTATTTAATGATCAAGCAATAAAAATAAATTTTTAAGCATTAGAAGTACAACATTATTTTTAGATAAATATCTTACTCTGAGATGAAATTCTAAATGAACATAATGATGATAAAGAAAACTAATATTATAATTATAAGCTATTTATAGAAATATTAAGGTAATTTTTCTTAATTGATGAATTGAGAATGTTTACAAATTAATAATAAAATGGATTATAAAAGGTGAATGGTATTGAGATATTTACATCACATTACCCATTTTTATGTTTTATATAAACTACTTATTAAAAAAATGAATATATGCCTAAATGATAAAATTTACATTCTAATCTTACACTAGTACTGTTGTAAACATAACAAATAGTGGAGGACTTGCAGTATTGCCGCTTTGATATAAATTCAAGTTGCCATGTTAAAGAGACTTAGAGTCATAATTTTTCAGCAATTTGCACATAAAGAAATAGGTCAACAACAAGTACACGTTAAATTGCAAATCTTTAATCTCTAAGATGCTAAAGTAATTTATTGCCAGTCAAACATGTCATTGATCAGTATTACTGATTGTCACTAAAATGCAACAACATGGTATTAAAATAAGTTTGCGTTTACTTCTTTTTACCTTCATATATTAAAAGACAATTTCTAATAATGAAATTGAACTATCTTTACTATTTTTGAAAAACGTCTTTCACTAGAGTTTGATACACAAATTCAAAATTCCCTTTATAATGAGGCAGACAAAACAATAACATTGATTCGGCACAACAATGTCTTTGCACAAAAACATTAAGATTCTTTACTGCTTTTCAAGTGAACAGTAAACGTTAGCTGGCACTTGGGCATCACAATCCTCAGCTACGCAAACATCAGCTCCTTCATGTCTTCTCTCTGTGCTGAGAACACAGTAGTTACTTTCTTTCATCGCACGTGTAGGGTTTCTATTGGCGTAGTCGTAATGTTTATCAATTTCCATATCCTCCTCCTTTTCATACAGATGGTTGTATACACCATTATTTTTGTAATTATTTGCCATTGATTGAGTTCGGGTTTCTTGGGCGCATTTCTTTGTTGACGATTCAGTAGAATGAGCAAACGGTGACACATTTACAATCTTTCTCTAGAGAACAGAAATGTATAATAAAAATTCCTCATTTTCTGCAGGACGTATCTACATATTTTATTTGAATATTTTGATATTATATATGTTGCATGATTAAAAAGACTGTCGATTGATTTGAAGTTATTATCCTTCAGGAAAAAAAAATCTTAACAAGACAAAATTATTTTTTCAAGACACATTAAACTGCATTCTTATAGGTAAACAACAAGAAAAATTTTCTATTAATTTTTGTTGATATAACTTACGTACAACCCAGAAAAATATAAAGGGGATTGAAAAAGTCAAGAAATTGTATTTGTAATCGTCCAAAAAGGTTTAGAAGTTGTATTTGTACCTGTCCGATTTTAATGCAGTGATCGAATTAATTTTCTTTGACAAATAACTGAGGATATTGAATTAATTAACATTTCAAATATATTCTGTGTATAATGTTTGACCAAGTTACATATACTAGTAAATACATTCACATATTTTACAATGACTCTAAAGTTTAGTTTCTCTTTACGTTGTCATATTACTTGTCCGGAGTGAGTGGATTGCATGCAGAGATAAATATAAACATGTACTAGTACACAGGTATCCGATGCAGGTTGCTAGTAAACCTCTGTAACTAAGCTGATTGCTTAGAGAAATTTATGTATAACAAAATTAAGACATTGAAACACCTATTCACCATTGAAACTTTGAGTTAGGAAATTCACGACTCCGTCATATATTTGAAAACTTTTAAACAGAGCAATACCAGTGATACATCTGTATATACCTTAACATTTAAAGCTGCCCCAATTGCAATCATAGGATATACTAATAGTTGTACTTTATAACGACAATCTTATGTACATTATTCAGATGCTTTTCTGTCAAAAGTTAAAATAATGAGTATGCATAATTCTCAAGGAATATTTCATTTTTACATAAAGTTTGCTATTTAGAAAAGCTTTTGTTAAAAAATAATTCTTATAATACATTTTACCTCATTTGTACAATGCATCGAAGGAATATTCTGATCTGCATTTTTTTCTGCCTCATAAGAAATATTGTTAAAAGTTGTAACCTTTGGACATTCTCTGAAAACAATGTTAAAGATTTTGAATTTTCCTAAACATATTTTGAGGTGAATACTGAAATAAACCTGAATTGTGGACAATGAAATGTTTCATACTTTTCTTTTCTTTTAAATTTCCCATGACGCATTTGATGAAAAAGGGTTACTGCAAAAATAGTTAGGAAAACGCCTAGAATAAGCCCACCAAAAAGAGATCCAACTGTCACACCGCCAATTTTGTCTTCTGAAATGGTGCAAAAAATGAATAATTTCGTGAATTTAATTATTTCATTTATGCATAGATATCGAGCATAAAGAACTTTTGAAAATGAATATCTATTTCAAAATTATAGGAATAAATGTGATACCTTGTATTTCAATGGGTATTTTTTTTTACATTAACCTGAAAGGATAATGCCGATAATATACAAATTTAAATACCTGTTTGGTCCTGGATACTTGCTTGAGAATTTACGCCTGGGTGTACTTTAAGCAATATATTTTTTCAATTAATGGTAAGCAATATAAAAAGAAAGTTTCAATAATCATACCGCAGTACTTTGAAATTATTTATATACGAAAGTTGTCCCAGAAAAACGCTAATTTTTTTTAATATTTCAAAAACTATTCGACCAAAATATATTATTTTTTGCACCTTGTTGGGAAATGAATTTTTTGATATTTTGACAAAATATTATAATGTTGTAATGCCATATGCATGTAAAAATAGCTTTTAAAGGGTATCAAATATCAGTGATAGGCGCAGGGCAATCTTTTGAATTTTAGAAATAGCATTGTAAGTGACGTTGTCTTTATTACCAGGCTATACGGAAAAAAATTACCTCCATAAAACTCGATGATCTAAAGTACTCATGTGTAAAAATGTCATTAATTTAGCATCACAAATGACAAAAATATTACGTTACATGCAAAAACACCTTTACTTAGATAATGTCAAAAATAGTGTTGTCAGACGATAATGCGGAACACCAATTCAAATTATCAAGCAGTACTGTTGAGCGGGATTTTACTCCTGTCCCTACGGGAAAAGATATGTAAACGATGGAACGACACAAACAAATATCTTGGACACAGATTTATACCTAGTTCAAAAGGTTTGAGCATGGCTTGACTGATTACTGTTGATTCCTAAGTTTTCGCGGGTACTTATTATCTCGAAATTGCTCTTGAACGTCAAATCACGAAAAAAATAATTCGCGAGTGGACGGTTGATCAAAAGATTTAACATTGATTTCAGTAGTTTTATTTTGCGAGTGGTGCTTCTCGCAAAATTATGCAATAATTAATTCATCGTGAATGTTTTGGAATCTACAGTATTCGATGGAAGAAGCGTTTGGTACACCAACAAACTGAAAAATCAGAAGCTGGACGTCATATGTGGCGACGGCCGCTTAACTAAGAGAGTAGTTAGGTAAACATATGATCTAGTTTGGGAAATTATTTAAGTTTATTAAAAGAATTAATTCCACGATCATTTGGAAACACTAATTAATATCTGAAATAGATAACTTGGTAACTAAAAGAAAATTAAATATAGCTGTCGAATTAATGCTTCAAAGGAATTTTATGAGCCGCACGCGATTCCATAATAAATTCATAAAAGCCACGAGTTACGTTTTGACGTCGTCAGTGTTGCGCCGACAGCTATTTTGTTAGATTTGTTTAACTGGCAGAAAAATGTTAAGTGTATTTATAGAGATATTTTATTGAGATTTTTTATGCATCATTAAAAAAATGTTGATTATGGTGTATACCATTCTTTTAATTTCATAGTATTAGCAAAACAAAAGGTATTGAAAATGTTCGCGTTTTTCTGGGACAACCCTCGTATATATATATATATATATATATATATATATATATATATATATATATATATATATATATATATATATATATATGAAAAAATATGTATCTGTGAACGTTTGAGACAAATTCGCTAATTTTTTCCAGAAACGAGCGAAATCAAGATTTAATATATTCATTATTTTTAGAATGAACTATCAGTACTTCTGCAAAATAATAGTTAGTTATGCATGTGTACAATGTGAGAACAGTCTATAAATGACTCATGAATAGATTAAAATCAACCTACACATAATGCACTCCGAATCATTCAATGGAACATATCCTGGTCTACAGACACATGTATTATTCTGACAGACTGATCCAAATGCCCCAGAACACTGCTCATTCTGCTCGCATGTTTCGTTCAGTTTCAAATTGCCTGTAAAATAGTGCATTAATCCAAACATATTCATAAACATGTTTGATGATAAATCAGTATTCATTTTGTTGGGAAACGCATGTTAGGATTAAAACAAAGAATACCTCATATTAAATTATAAACGTGTATTGTATTCTTTAAAATGTATGATTGATTGTGTCTTATGAAATATTACTTCTGATAGCAACGACTAGTAAGTAAATGCAGTATTAATGTGCCTTTCAGTATTTACCCTTTAAACATTCGTTTTGGCATCCTATATATCCGGATTTACATATACATATGCCGATGTTTCCCGTCAGTAAACATGTCTTGGATTCTTCTTCACATTCCTTTGTTGGTGTACAAATATCTTTCGAAATGCCTACGCCAAAATATATATATCTTACATATAGATTAAAAATATATTACTGTTGCTATAAGTCAACAGAGTTTCCCATCATATATAATTCACTCTAGCTCACATTTATATGACATTTTAGAAATTTTATATGAGTGACGGAGTTTATATCAAACTCTGGCATATTCAGAGAAATTTTACTGTGGCGCGAAAAAAAGGGTTATGTACATGTAGAATCCGAAAAAAGCATACTGATAGAGCATAGAATCAATTATATTTAGTACATCAGACAACATATCAGCAAATTCAAAGAACAGTGAAACCTCTCAAAAACAGGATAATATACAGCTTAACTCTCAGAAATATCATGATACAGTCAAAGTCAAACCTCCACTGAGATTGTCAGCTCAAGATATCAGTAACTGAAGGCAGAATTCGGTCGAGAAAAAAAAACGTGTACACATGTACACAGTGTTTGAATAATTTTAAGAATTGACTTAAATCCTTTCAGTTAATATAAAGATACATCGAACTCATAAGTTTCATCAATTAATTTTTTGTCATTAACGCTACCAGAAGCATCAAAACATACCATTACATTTCCAGCTCGGTTTTGATTTCAATATATATGTAGAGTATAAATATAAATACCGACAATTTGTACAAAGAGATCTCTCAACAAAACATTAACATACTTGTGATATGACATGACCCGGTTGATGATGTGATTGTCACATAATTTTTTTTGCACATATATCGCTTCTGCGATACATAAGTAAAATTATTAATCACTTGAACCAGCCTGTTTCATACACACATATACTCTACATCTAAACTATGGTCCCGTAAACGGAAGCATTTAAAAGTCAAGTTTTTTGCAATAACGTTTTGAATACACATAATTTCAATCTAGATAAATTTACCGAAGTAGCGTTGTAATATTCAACATTAATTACACACCCTCGGGCTTCAAACAACAGTCAAGACGCATGGATTTTACCGTATTGCTCTAAAACTTAATATATGGTTGGAAATAAGAAGTGAACTTTATGACATTTTCCCCGTAATGAATGCTCAAGTATGCAGTGACTTGACGTCATTTGCAATTATGACGTCATATCTTCGTAGTTCAGAGAAGTGACAACATAGGATGTAAATGATATTTTTCGGGAAGCCTTAATCTACCCAAGACGTCATTATCTAGTTTGAAAATTTACCTGCAGTTGTCCAATAATGAACGAAAGCAATCCAATATATTATCAGATTTAAGTGAAAATTTATTTATTGATGGACTCTTTCAGATTATTTTATAGCCGAAACGTAGATAAGCAATTAACTTTATCTAAATGTCATTCTCCTAACGGTGCATTGTGTTTGCAAGGAGTTCATTATAACAACTACGAAATACGATGTATATAATTTACGAAATCCTGACTTTTGTACAAAACTGTTGAAAACATTGGAACATCAACTTATCTTTCAATAGTTTATCTCGATTTAAAAATTCAGGTGACTCTCGATGGCTCGAACTCCGATCTCTCGAAGTTCTCGATCTCTCATATGGAGAAATGATATACAGTTTATTCATGAGGTTGCTCCCACGTGATTTACCTCTCATTAATATTCATAAGATCCTGCATAAACTCGAAATATTCCATTTCTTTAATTTTTTATATTAAAACCCGCAAGCGCAGTTTGTTTGTTTTTTTTTAAGCCTCCTTCATAGTTATTTGGGCAGAATTTGGGTTATTAACAGCTGACAACTCATGAAACCATCTTTTGTGGTAATAAGTAGGTCACACTGATGCAAGAAATTGCCGTTTTCAAATTAAAAAGGCGGTCGTAACTCTTCTTGAAATGATAAATCATCTGCATTTCATAAAAATAGGCATTCGCCTGCACCTATTCATCGGCGGAAGAACTCTGTCAACTTGCAATAAATACTTCATATAATCACCAAAAATTATAAAGACACCAATTCTGAGCACTTTCCTTCATTAAAACATTGTACTCTCGTTTCGGAATTTCAAATCAAAAAGGCGGTCGCAACTTTCACTTTGGCATCAACAATATTGTCATTTCCGATAGAAGATATTAAGAAAAATCTAAACATCGGCGGAAGAACTTTATCCGAAATAGTTGGTATATAAAAATCTGCGGGTTTTTGTTCGTTCTCTATATAAACCTTCATGGAATCTTTCGCCATTATAGCTCCCATATGGCCGATATGTAAATGAGAAGAATGAACACCATTTCTCCATATGTCGAAGTGAACCTCCGGTCCCGTTTTTTTCTTCTATATAACTAAGCAAATTTACTTCCTATCTCTCAAACTTCCGATCTCTCGAAGTTCTCTATCTCTCGAACCAAGACCTGGGTCCCGTTACACACATTTCACTGTTTTTTACTCTCGATCTCTCGAAGATTTGATTGCGCCTGTGCACACGCCGATCAAGCGTAAAATTAATGCAGCTTAGACTTACCTGGATAACAGTGAACGCCTCGGGCTGGGATGGAGGTGTTAATTGGGTGTTTACATAGATGACACTATACCTGTGAGCATCCGAGTGTTGATATAATTAATTGGTTACAACTGGTAAACTATAAACGAATTGCTTCACAACTTATTTTGACTTGGCAGCGAGACGATAATTTTTAGAAAATAATTTGAGAGACATGTCAATAATTTTTCATAGATTATGAAGTTTTATTAGAGTTTACATAATCCCAGTATGACAAACACTGCACAAGAAATCCTATCTGAAGAACTGAATACCCATTTAATACGAGAAATCTGGTGAAGGACCCGATGAAGCCCTGGGGGTAGCCACGCCGACGATTGCTATTCAGGTTTCATGTAATTATGAAATGAGAATAAATAAATACTGAAACTTAAAGAGATCGTTTTATTTATTCAAAATACGATCATTGTTGTTGAAATCAAGTGAATTACCTGTAAAATACTAATGAAAACGTGCAATGACATTATCGACATATACTTCCGGTATTTATAATAGTAGAACAATGATGATCGGAACTGAAAATTCCGGATTTTATTCACTTTCTATCTCTCGAACCCCTCGATCTGTCGAACATTTCTTGCGGTCCCTTGAACTTCGAGAGATCGAGAGTCACCTGTTGATCGTTAGTTGTCACTTTCCATTTTCATATATAGTCAGTAAATTATCCAAATATTAAACAGATTTGGCACACTATGTGGTATCTTTAATTTCAATTTACCGGGATATATCAATAATATAAATGTTGTGTCATCGATATACTACAGTGTGCTTAAGTGGAATATAGGGCCACAGCAAGAGTTTGATTCATTTCATGTAAAAGTTTTTGAATAAATTATTCTGCCTCAGAAAATATAAACACAGCTAATAAAGTTTGAAAGATAGACATATGGTATACATTTTGTCATTTGTCTAAAACAATACTTTAATATTAACTTGAAAATGTTGAAGTCTTTCTCAAATTTGCCAATCGTCTGAGATGTCCCTCGATGAAATTCATTATGGAAATTTATCTCAGTTTAAAAGATATTTCCTGAATTTAAATCTTTTCAAGTGATTGTCTTCAGGTCGCAAATGTTTACAAAAGATTATGATGCTTCCATCAGAACTTAAGTTGAAAAAGGAAGAACGCGAGGAGGAGAATCAATAGAGTTTGTTTGTAATTTAAAAGTTTGGATGCAACAATTGGGAATTGTATGTAGGAAATGCAAGACTAAACCTTTCTTAATAAAGATGAAATAAACCCTTTCTTAATGAAGAATTTCACTATTCCTTACAGCATAAATAAATGAAATCGAATCAATGAAAATCTAAAAACAAAACAAATTTGTGAATATGGCATAAAACACGAATCTCCGAAAATTTCAGGGGTGGGATCAGGTGCCTAGGGGAGTAAGCACCGGTCACATATAGAACAAGAGCTGTCCAACTAAATTCTTAGAGAAAAATTACGTGGCTTTTTAAAAATATAATAACCTATATAAATTACTTTAAGAGTCGATGATTGCTATAGGCATCTGATCCCACCTCTGGAATTTCCAGGGATCCATGTTTTGTGCCTTCTTCACATTTTGTATTTTTTATGGATTTTTTGAGATCGATCACTGTTCGTTATCTTCACCTTTTACATCACATCCGCCGTGAGGCTTATGTATTGATCAGGTAGAAAATCCAGTAATCAATTTCAATGTAAAAACGAAGGTTAAATAATTGGTATAAAACAGGGTTCTTTAAAGTATATAGACTTCAAAATATATTAACAACAAAATTAGAGAATATATTGAACGATGGTATTAGCCTTAATAGAAAACACAAATCAACAGTACCAGTGTCTGTTCACTAATTCTTTAAATACAGATATATACTAGTATTCTTCCTTTAATTTCATAAGTAAAATAAAAGAAACGCGAGATGACTGCAGTATAACATCAAAATTTAATTTTTATCTCAAAGCTGAGATAAGATTATATCATTTTGATGTTTTTGATTACATGTTATATATAATAACCTATATAAGTTACTTTAAGAGATGATATTTGAAAGGCCATGTCACTTTTTTCTATAATAAAGAAATTTATTTGGGCAGCTATTGTTCTACAGCTATGAGAAAGCTATGAAAAAGTATGAATAGTACAACACATATGTTTACGCAGTATGAAAAAAAAACATACCATTTTCTGTGTCTATTTTGCAAACAATTTCTAAAGTTCTCTCAAAATTTAAATTGTTGCATCTCGTTGCAAAATAATCGGATAAACCATTGAAATTAAGATCAATATTTGTCAGCTGATACCCATATCCATCGTACAAGTATTTGATTTTTATACGGCATTTCTGAGGACAAACACCCATATCTGAAATTAATTCCAAGCAGTTAAAAATGATTATGAATGAACTTTATTTATGTATTACTATTTATCAAAATAAAATAACTGATTCACAAAGAACTTCATATGATATCATATAGATGCAGTAATAATAAGACAAACTTTTCTAAAAATATTTTTGCTATAATAAGTATTTGTTTGGTAATAATACATTTAGAAATGCTATTGAATTACCTGAATCAAACCATCTTTGTGCATCCACTAATGTAAACCTGCACGCTTTTCTTCCCGATGCAAAAAGAAATGGCCTTTCAATGCAAACATCCCTTCAAAGTAAACGATAACTTAAGACGACTCTTACTTTTAAAGATAACAACGAAACAAACAAACAAAGAGGAGAAAATTGAATATTAAAAAGATTCAATTTAATTCAATATACTTTTTGTTACTTTTATTTCCCTAATTATTTCATAACACAACAAAAGATCTACTACAATGCTCACGAGTCATCTTAGTCATGTTGCACTTGATAAGAAATTTTCAAGAGATTTTCCCTATATTTTCCCATATAATACTTAACCCCTGTTACGACTTCACTCTGTCCGCAAAGAGCATGACTTGATCGTTATAGAATCAATCCAACTTGGGATATTTCCCTTTCAATATGATTAACAGTGGCTTGAGGGTTTTTGTTAATTCTAAGAAACTACCTTGGTGCTTTTTGAGTTATGACATGCTGGAAAATAATACAAATACATGTGAGTACTACATGTAAACAAGCCCATGGCACTAACATCGTTTAGTATCGTATGATGAGCACAAAGTGTTTCTCAAAAGCAATACATTTTATAATTATTTATCGCGGCCGGAAAACATTCTTGATTGAAACTCAATCAAAAGCATTTCATGGGAAATTTAGATTTGAATGTGATGAATTTAGTAAATACAAGCCAAAGAATAGATATGTTAAGAATAGACTGTAGAAGATACTTTACCAGGAGAGATATTCAATTAAAAATGTTCTTTGAAAACTTAGCCTATAATATAACATACTTAGTTTTATTTAGGATATTCGTCGTGCAAAAAGGGGAGCAACGTAGCGCAGCAGAGAAAATTATAAATCATGACTGTGAAATCTTTATTAAGAGTGAAAAATCCATCACATAATTTCTTTGCGCCTTTGGTAAATAACAATACATGTACGTTTATTTCAAATTGTGCTTTTAATTAGTTCACAAAGCATGTTAGGTTTAAAAGATTTATGAGTTGTACATGATTCTGGACAATCTAATACTGTACTCTAGTATAGAATGGGAATAAATGTGGCCATGTTATCCACGAAAGGAATTTTCTCAAATCAAAGTTCCAACATATTCCCATGGCATACACTGATTCCCATTTCGGACTCCTCCATGAACCTTAGGACCAATGACCTGAACAAATTTAAATAACACTATATTGGGATCTCTGAATATATACTGAAACGCAAAAGAAACGTAACATCCAATTTTAGGGGGAAATATTATATATAGGATATAATTTTGTATCTAAAAAGTAAGGACATCTTCAACTTTGTAAATATCGGTAACTTAACGGTTGAATGATTTTCATACCATTACTGGAAGTTAAGTTTGAGTCCGCTTAACAGAAATCAAAAATTGCATGTTTTACAAAATATTTAGCAATAATATGGGGTTTTAAGAATCTGTATCTGTTCATCATAAGTAATGAAGCGATGTTACGAAAAATAAATTCTCCTTTCTTTCCCGTAAGCGATGCCAAGACTTCCTAAAAATGACTTCAGTACGCATTTCCATTGGTCTAGCTGGAAAATCGCAAAATAAAGGTGATGGAGAGTTGCAGATGCAAATATGCAACACATCACGCCTCAACAGGCTCTTACGTATCATTAGCATGAGTGACAGTCCTTGGACCGGAAGTCCAAGGGTTACTACACTGCGCTTGGCTAGAGAAAATTCGACCTCATCATCTGAAAAACAGGCATTTAAAAATGGCAAAGAATATTTCTTTCGCTCAGATCTCGAGATTGATGAACCTACTGCATCGTAGAAATCAAGCTGCAACTGTTGTACATGACAGTCTTGCACGCTGTAATTGAATGGCCGGGGTGGGGGGTGTTTTAACATTCATTTGTTACTTTCTAAAGTTAAAAGATTATAATTTAACATTTTTATCAAATCTCTGATTGAATAAATCGAGTTTTACATGTACCTTACTGTATTCATTTTGAAAATCATTAGATAAAAAATTCAAATATTTGTAGATTACTGCTTGTTGCGTTTCTTTTGCGTTTCAGTATATATATTACTTATTGTGACCTTGCTTTTAAATGAAGATATAATGCTTCATGACAAGATTGGCTGGTTGTAATTGCCCTAGCATTTCTGGAGAATTAAGTTGAAATATTAAAAGTAATCACAGGCGATACACAGCATTCGAAAATGACAAACAACTACATAAAAGAGTAGCATACTTTAACCTGCAATAGAAAATGCCATTTTATATTGATAATCTTCCTTTTCTAAATGTTTTTGAATGCGTTTCCTTTCTTTATTTCACAACGGAAATAATTAATTCATCAATATTTGTAAAGTCATTTATAATTGAAATACATTTATCTTTTATATCTTTTGCACAGCGAAAAAGAACATTAATTTGATTTTTAAGTTGCATCATATGACGATTCACATAACTAAAAGCTTTCAACATCTTAATTATACCTCTGTGCATTTTCAATATTTAAATTTATGCCAACCAATGTACCTCTACATTATAAACAGCCAGAGTCCGAGCTTGTTTTGCGTAAAATAGACATAAGACCCATATTCTGTGAAAAGGTCATTTATTCATAAAGTACATTACTCAAATTATTGAATAGTATATAATTAGCATTTAGAAAAGGCATCATTTGATATGATTGAATAAATGACATAGATTCGCAAAGGGGGGATAAAAATGTTACCACCTAAGAACAAAAGCAACTAGAGTTTCTAACAGAAAATGAGGGAGGTCAGTGGATTGGATTTAAAACGTCCTTGCAGCGAGCAACCAAATCAAGAAATGCCGCGAACGACGCAGACCCCTAAAAAAACCCAGGACGACATCTACAAAAACCAATTAAAAGCGCGCATTCCGAGATGTGCAGAATGATGCAGAGCTAACTGCGGCTGACAGCTTAAATTAACTCGCATTGAGTCATGTTTTCAGTGATTAAGTACGCGTAAACTCTAGATGCATAATTCGAATAAACAATATGACTAAAACACAATAAAATACTTATATCTAATTTTGTTATAAATTATTTTATATATAATTGTTCATAAAATCAATTATTTGACGAATAAACCCTTTTTTTTTTATACCGGTAGATAATTTTTGTGTCCTCTGTCCAGGATGAAATAATGGCAGTCGTCAAAATTGTTCATCTGCAGTGTTTGATTTCCGTCAAATTTTCTACCGGAACTTTTCTAGTTTTATCCGAAGAGCCCCTTCAAAAGTTCTATTGTAAACTATAGTTAACTATTGTCAATTATAGTGATAATTTGACACTATGAAATTATTGTTAACTACAGTGATAATTTTGAAACTTTGATTTACTAAAGTGACAATTATGACACTATAGTGATGACTATGAAAACTTTGATTTACTGTGGTCATTACTATGACACTTTAATGATCACTTTAAAACTTTGATTTACTATAGTGATCACTATGACACTATGTTGATTTCTTTGAAAACTTTGATTTACTTAAGTGATATCATTGAAATTTTGATTTCATATACACTGTAGTTAATTATAGCGAACTACAGTTAACTATAGTTAACAAGAATTACTATAGTATTTTTTGTTAAGGGTGTCTTTCACAAAAGAAGTCTTGTTTGGTATTATAAAACACCTGTTTACTGACTTTTCGGACAATAGCAAGTGAATTGCCATCCTCGACAGCAATTTCTTCTTTCGACTGCTCCTCGGTAAATGTTTGTCTTGGGGGACAAAAACCTTTCTATTGTTTTCACAGCCAGTTAACAGGTGTACATAATACTTCCATTTAAGTATACATACCTGTCAATATTGGCTGCCGAACAGTCATAAAGTATTGTCATAAAAGCAAACAACCCTGAAATTAAAGTCATGGTTTTATCCTAATTTTTAAATACAATATTTTGTTTCCAATGCACTTAATGTAGAAGCAGAACACGATGGATTTTTAATGGTGTTAATGTCATAAGCCTTTTCCCTGTGATATTCCGACCAGCTCTAATGTTTAAAATACAAGACATGAAAAAGGAAATAAAGATAGAAGTAACATTAACTATATTGCATGGGAAGAAAAAATTGCATATTTAAAACTGATTGGAGTAACAATATTTGATAGTAACTGAAAGACTTTGAAATAATCTGAGGAGGCTTTTTAATTTAATTAAAAAGATATATGCTTGCTGTTATCGTGTTACATTGCTTATTTCGGTTCAGATATGTACTATTTGAATGGAGTGAAGTTCTAAAATTGAGAATGAAATCGACATCATCGTGAAAAGTAAAAACAAACAATTGCAAATTCAAACAATTGTGCTCTCTTTCAGTGTCTTAGTGGTTTTGATGCAATTATCTATAGCATATTCTAATTGTCTTGTCTGTATGTCCTGTCTTGTCTGTCAAGCATACACACACACAAAATAAATTTTAAATTATTAAAACTTTTGACCAAGATTAAAGTTTCTAAAAACTGCATCAAACTTCAAGATCAAGGTCATGAGGTCAAATATCTTAAGGGGATGAAGGACACATGGTCACATGACTCTGTTTAACTACGTCATAGTCTCCGTTTATATAAGTGCAAAACGTGTAAAGCATCAGTTCTTGTATAATTTTTAAACATTTTTTTGAACTTTGATAACCATCTTATATTAAAAAAATAAAAAGTTTTAAAATTCTTGTAAACATTAACAAATTATGAAAAAGATTGATCCACTCCTCTGTTTCCCTAAACTGCGCGTCCAACAAGTCGGTGACGTCATACACGATCTGTTAGTACAGCCAGATCATACTCAGTGAATACAGGGGCGGTATTACTTTGTGAAAACAGGTCTTAATCATTATATGATAAAATATTCTGAGACACGGGGAATACAAAAATTATTTTTGCATGGCTGATGACGGAAATCTTATGTAGGTATATCTTCTTTCGCTTATTTAGCTACATGTGACGTCATAGTTGGTTTTTCCCGTACTCGAGAAATGTAAACATGACACGTTTTTGTCATGCTTATGTCCTCTTTAACGATGTCCTGTGCAATATTGAGGTCAGCTTCACCATTCGAAATTTTTACAGTTAATCAGTAATTTGAAGGACTTACTTTTCAACGTAAATTTAAAAATATTGAATGATAGAATTTTTGGTAAATTACGTTTTTTGTTGTTAAAGTTGTCTTAAAAAGTACGTAATTTTCGCTATCTAGATGCAATGTGATAGAAGAAACTTGCTTTTTCGAATTTTAAACCCTATTCATACTATGAAATATTTTAAAAGATACATGTCCACTTACATATTTTTTATCTTTGCTTAAAAAATCCCATTATGGACAGAGTAATGGGCCCGTAAACATGGAAAACTAAAACTCTATTTAGATACTGTAGGGCATAGTATTTGTCAATCAATATCTCTAAAATAAGGTTAGAAACCTAATGATATAACTGCTTTAAGATATGTGGGACATACTTAAAAAGAAATATACAAAATATGAAAAAAATTGAATGACAGGTATTTTTTCACCTCAAGGTCCTTCTTCCCCTTAATACAATCCGAAAGGACTTGTTACAAGTATTGCTCATGTGAAAAAAAAATATCAAAGTCCTGTCTCTTCTAGAGCACACGTTACGGCCAAAGTTAAAACTTACAATAAGTGTGTCAAAATACTAGGTCAAGGCCATGAAGTCAAATATGATTTTTTTAGAGTTGTTGTCACAGGTAATGACATGGTAAATTATATAAGCCTCATTTTCTCTCATTCAAAAGTTATATTCAGTGTTAAAACAATCAAACGGTTACTTCAAGGTCAAGATCATAAGGTTAAAGATCAAAGTAAATTTGGAAAGTCCTGTCTTTTCTAGAGCAAACGTTACTTTCAAAGTTAAAACTCAAAATAAGCGTGTCAAAATTCTAAATCAAGGCCATGAAGTCAAATATGATTTTTTTTTTAATATATTGTCACAGGTAATGTACATGGTAAATTGTGAAAGCCTTATTTTCCCTCATTCTAAAGTTATATTCACTGTTAAAAGATTAAACAATTACGTCAAGGTCCAGATCATAAGGTTAAAGATCAAAGTAAATTCGGAAAGGCTTTGTACATATAATGCACATGTCAAATATGAAAATCAAATGCTCTCTTGCATAAGATATCACCAAATGCAACATTAGTATTTTTGAAAAGTGGGTAAAATTTAAGGTCAAGGGGTCAAAAAGTGATAGTTGGAATGTCTTGTTGCGGGTAATATAGTACTACATGTGAAATATGAAAGCCCTATCTTTTTCACTCAAAAGTTATTACCTTAAGATTTACACGATGTTACTCAAACATACAACCCAGTGCTTTATAATCTAATAATCTACCAGCTGAGCTAAATTGTTCTAAAGGTTGTCTACAACATGGCTTGAACCTATATCCCTTCACTTTCAAAATTTATAATTTAACCGATTGAATTACAAGTTAACCAATCAAGTTAGTACTACTGACGAATGCGTGTACTCTCCTTGTGTTTATCTCATGACCAGTAAACAAAGATATTTCATAATTATCAGTTCATCATGTACTTGTGCTTAAAACATAATAAATCAGTTGTGCTATCTTTAAAAGTCGGTAGTTGTTTTGAATTGTGACATTCAAGTACGGATGGATAAATAAATATGAAACTTTCTTAATATAAAAACGATTGCCTTTTCCCAGTGGCAGTGGTATCTTAGTAGGCAGATTTAGATATAGTGATCCCTCCAGTAGCCATTCTGACCATTTTATTGTAAATGGAATCTATTGAAAAGATAGAAATATGTACTTACATTCTACACATTTCGATATCGCCATTTAAAGGAAAATGTTCGTTAAGAACGAAATAACTTTTTGTTTAAAAATTCCTCAAGAATGTCATCTACTGAGTTCCCGCTGAAATATGGCTGAAATATTGCCAACTCGGCGTTCAACATTATACAATCAATCAATCTACTGAGTGGATTAGAATGGCATGCTTTTAAAAGTGTGCCTCACAGGACTCTAAATATCACTTCCTTGTCTTAAATATTATCTTACTTTTAACTATTTAATTGCCTTGAACAGGTTGTAAATGAAGAATCAAGGAACACTGTTATATCGGCAAAGAGCTAGGTTCACTTTATGCATAAAATGGTCCTGTCCTTATATCAATTAATTGACTATTACCCTCTGTCCCATTTCATATATCAAAATAAGAAGGAGACTTAGTGCTTTCATTTTCTATAACATTTTTTTTTGAGAATCCAGGTATTGGAAAACAGGCTTTGAGAAAATGCAACGTTCTTGAATTTTGCAGAAAACATGCGTATTTGACTACCTTCAGCAAAGAATTAAAATATGAGCACAGCCCACGATCCAAAAATTAAAACATGTTTTGTGATCTTCAGAAACAGATCTTTCATTATTTAATTGTATATTTTGGATCAGAGGTTGTGCCCCAGGGTTTGACACTAAGGCACGTCCGACCGACCTAGTCTTGTAAATGAGTGGTCCCGTCGTGTAAAATGTACGTGATTGGTCGTGTTGATAAAATAACTGTTAAAACCCATTTCAGTTTTTCAAATTAATATTCCAAAAACTTAAGAATTTTTCTTAATCTGTCCGATTGTAAACATAGTCAAGAATCCCCGTATGACACAGTCGCTATTTTAGCACAGCTGTATTAGAAAAGTTGCGGTAGAAACTAGCGTCGTTCAGGATCAATATGGTATGAATAGTTACTGAAAAAATATATTCTGCAATTAATTTTATTTAGGATCAAAAATTTATAAAAGTTCGTTGAATGATCTTTAAAGCTTACAATATTCGCATGTCTTGATGAACTAGACTCAATTGGCTAGTCGGTAAAAATCTTGATACGCAAGAGAAACGATTTCAAAATTATTTATCTCATTAAAATAGTGATTTTAAGAAATAAATAAAATTTGCAAGTTTGGTCAGGGCTAGTGATTTTATGGTCAGGGCTAGTCAAAATTATGGGAAGTAGCCCGACTGGTCTAGTACTCGTAAAAGTTAATGTCAAACCCTGCTGCTCTATATGAAATACTTGAAAAATACTTTTGGCCATTTCTAAGGGAATTTAGAGGAAATGGGGAAAATGACGCATTTTATGACGTCATAATGCATTGCCTAGAGAGAAAATTACGTTATGTTCAATAGATACACGGTCACCAAGGGTCCAAGTTATAAATACTGTATTTTCAACCAAAACTGAGCAGTTTCGATTTTTCAGAAATTCTCAGGGCCAAAAAAGGCCCTAAATGGCTCTTGCTCTTCACTTTAAACATTCGAAGTACTGAAATTTCTGAATAGAGATGATAACGTTGATCAATCTTTATGTTATGTGACAGATGAAAATTTATTCAATAGAGAAATTACACTGATGGTAACAAAGTACTTTATATAATTTTTATGTAACTATATAGAATCATTAAAAAATGAAAATGAAAAACAATAAGCACTAAATTAAACTACTAAATCGTATATATTTACAATCTTACATGTGGTTAATTTTTAAGTTGAAAAACAAATTGATTCAAAGTAAAACCGGACCTCTATGAAACACGACCGGTCTGTGTGGTATTCTCTTTCAAAATGCGATTTACATAATTGAACAAAATAATTAGCGCTTTTTAATTTCCAAAGAGTAGTAATCGTACAATATTAACACTTTGAAAGTTTCACTGTTTCTTCATTGAAATACTTTCGCGATTGACAATCAGTCTTTATGTTCTAGTGTTAATATTTCTCTTTAATAATGATGAGATATTTGAGGGATCGTGGATGTTGACTATTAGACAATTGTCAATTTCACCAGTTTTCTCATCGTCAACGTTCCCACTTT